CGGAGTGACTGTGGGTGGGGGGCGCCATAGTAGTTCCCATACTACTGCTGCTTGTTGGTTCGATGGGATGAGGACTTCTCCGGGTAGACGGATCGGTTCCCCGTATGATGGCTCGGCGGGAGTCGTTTGAAGGTCCTCTTTCCACGCGGATCTCAACCCTAGAAGTACCAGGGGAAGTGCGTCGTACCAAGCTTCGCCATGACATCGCAGTGCTGCTTTCAGNGCGATCCAGTGATAAAGAATCGCATTGACTACTGTTGGCATCCTCGAGTCGATCAGTGGAACTGCTTCTGAGTATCGCGTAAATCTGTCGACGATGGTCAAGCACCAGCTCTGTCCTTTTGAGGCAGGAAGAGAGACTAAATCGACGTGTATGTGTTCGAATCATCGTGACGGTGTTTCGATGTTAGCTATTGGTGTGACCGTGTGTCGCGTTATCTTGTTTTTCTGNAGTATCGCGTAAATCTGTCGACGATGGTCAAGCACCAGCTCTGTCCTTTTGAGGCAGGAAGAGAGACTAAATCGACGTGTATGTGTTCGAATCATCGTGACGGTGTTTCGATGTTAGCTATTGGTGTGACCGTGTGTCGCGTTATCTTGTTTTTCTGGCACTCCAGGCAATGTTTGGTCCATTGGGCCCAGTCTTTGTTTATGCCAGGCCACACGTAGCATTGTGTCACGAGTTTTCGCGTGCCTTTGGGTCCAGGATGAGCCATTGAGTGCAGTGAGCTGCAGACCTGTTGTCTCAGCGGAGCAGGAACGTATGGGCGAACTGTACCTGATGATACATCACAGTACAGTGGTTCGTCCATTCCTGGGAGTTGTAAGCGGTCTAGTCGCAGATTCACGTCCGGTCGCTGGAGTAATTGTCGGAGTTCTTGATCGTCGCGTTGGGCATCTACCAGCTGTTGAGGTGTGACGGCAGTCGCGATTTCCTCTACTCATGATAGGGCGTCTGCCACGACGTTATCTGGGCCCGGGACGTATCTGATGTCCGTGGAAAACAGGGCGATGTAGTTCAGTCTCCTGTATTGCCAGGGTGAAGCTCGTTCCGGTTTCTGTTGGAACGCGTGAGTCAGCGGTTTGTGATCGGTGAAAATTATCACATGTCATCCTTCAAAGATGTGCCTGAAGTGTAGTACTGCCTCGTAGATTGCTTGCAATTCCCTATCGTAAGCCGCGTGTTTCTGCGAAGAAATTCCAAGTTTCTTGCTGAAAAAGGCTAACGGCTGCCAGGAACCGTGGTGTTCCTGCTGCAGAACGGCGCCTATCGCGTGATCCGACGCGTCTGTGAAGATAGCCCACTCTGCCTTGATATTTGGATGAGACAATTGAGTGGTTTCTGCTAGCGCTTGCTTGCTGCGCGTGAATGCTTCTTTAAGGGCTGGAGACCAGGCTACTGGTTACTTTCCTTTGACGTTCGTCCCCTGAGTCGCGGCGTACAGCGGGGCGAGGATTTCTGCTGCTCCCTTGATGAACTTCCGGTAGAAATTTAGAGTTCCGAGGTATCTGCGTAGCGATTTAACCGTTGTTGGCCTTGTGAACTCCAAGATCGCGTTGACTCGATCTTTGGGGGTTTAATTCCTTGAGCGTTGATCTCGTGTCCGAAGAAAAGTACCTCTGGCAGTCCGAGGACTGATTTGGCGACGTTGATTATCAGCCCGTAGTCCTGGAGTCGTTGGAAGAGGATCCTCAGGTGCTCGCAATATTGCTCCGCGTTTTCCGATGCTACCAAGATGTCGTCTATGTATGGGAACAAAAATGGTAGATCGCGTGTGACCTTGTCGATCAGACGTTGGAATGTCTGAACTGCGTTTCTGAGGCCAAATGTCATGTATAGGAATTCGAAGAGTCCAAATGGCGTGATTATTGACGTTTTCTGGATGTCTTCGCGTGCCACTGGAATTTGGTTGAAGGCTTTAACCAAATCTATGGTGGAAAAGATTGTTTTGCCATGTAGGTTGGCAGCAAAATCTTCTAGATAACGAACAGGATAGTTATCTGCTATTGTCCTGTCGTTGAGTGCGCGGTAATCAGCGCATGGCCTCCATCCGTTGTTGCCCTTAGGGGCCAGGCGGAGCGCGGATGCCGAGGGACTTTCAGATCTCCTCGCGGTTCCGAGCGTCAGCATGCTGGAGAACTCCGCTTGAGCGGTTTTGAGTTTATCCGGCGCTAGGCGGCGAGCTTTGCAGGAGATTGGTGGTTCTGGTGTTGTCCTTATGTGATGAACGGTGCTCCGCTTTTCTGAGCAATCCTCCCGGTTTTGTTATTGCTGGGAACTCTTTGAGGATCGACGCGTACGGTGAATCCTCGTTGATCTCGAGGAGCTTGACAGACGTCGCGCAGAATCGCGCGGACTGGCCATGCGATTGGAGGCCTGTCGCGCTGTCGATGATTGCTCCGTTTCTCAAGTCCGGTAGCAGACTGAAGTGATCGTCTCGACGTGTTCGTGAACGAGACCGTGGGTCGCGCGTTTGCGTGGCAGCAACGGCCGCCGTCAGCTGCTCAATTCGCTCGAGGAGCGCCGTGTTGACTGCGTTGGCTGGCGAGCTGGTGATTGCTGCGACGCTGTTCGGGTTGAATACCTCGTGCACCCTGTCTGCTAGCTTCATGAGATCATCAATGGAAGCGTTCTCCTGGGTGGCGAGTGTAGCGCGCGTCTGCTCGGGGAGATGAGACAACCAGCGCGTTTTCAGGACCTCGTCGTCAATGCCTGGAACGAGACTTTTTAAATGTCTCAGGTGTTTCGACGGGGTTCGATCCTCAATGCTCTCCCTGTCGAGCAATTGGATGATGTTCGCAGTCCTGGATTTTGTGAAACATCTGATTAGTTCGTTTTTTAATGTTTGGTATGGATTTGTTACAGGTCTGGAGACAATTAAATGTTCGACTTCTGCCGCGTAAGCAGTGTCGATCAGCGGTACCGTTTTGTTGTACTTATCTGACTCGGTGACGTATCCCAGGTCAGCGAACTGTATCTCCAGCTGCGCGAACCATAGCGCGGGTTTGTCCGCGTCGAACGGCCTTGCGATGATGAGCTTGAGCCTCATTATGGCCGTTGCTGTCGTTACGGTGGGAGTTGTTTGGATGTCAGCTGCTGTTGTTACCATGTTGATTTTATTTTATTTTATTTCAGAGGGAAATAAAATCGATGAATTTTACTTCACAGCGCGATTAAGCTGAAGGAATAAATTTGTGAGAAAAATAAAGGCTGTTGTAGTCTCTATTTGTCACCAACACAACACAACGTCTATGGGTGTTCGGCAATGTGTCGGCGCGAGGTCACAAATATTCACTCGGATATCACTTTTATTCGGTTTGTTTTGGTTCCGCGAGAACAATGGGAAACCAAGGTCTTGACGCTCGAACGGTTGGAATGTTGCAGAAATCTCGAGACGCCGTCGTTTAAAAACCGAAGCGTGGGTCACACAACAAAATTAATTATTTTCAGAAGCGCGCCACTTAACTAGAATGCACTCGCGGGATTCACTGCAGCACTTGAAAAACTGAGTCGCGCGTGTTGTCCGGAAAAACGGATGAGAACGCGTGGACGAGAGAATGAATTTTTCAGTTGCACTGCACGCGCGCGAGACGAGAGGGTTTTCACTTTTGTCGTTTAAAATGTCGAATTTCCTTAATTCGATCACGCCGGGGTCACCAATGTAGGAATTGAGGTTGTTGAGGGATGTAACAATTCACTAACAAATGTAATTAGTATTTAAATTACAGTTTAATCAAGACGTTTAGAATATATATACAAAAGAGAAAGAATAATCAAAGGGATCTGATCGGAGGTCAGTGTTAGACTCTACTATCTTAAATCGCGTAAGACGGGAATTTGGATACGCATGACAATAGGTGCGAGCGAGAGGTATTTTATACTGGGCGCGCGACAGAGCGCGATAATGTCACCAATGTCCAGTCGTCTCTCAGCGTTGTCGTATTTGTGCATGTGTTACGCGTTGGTGTATGTGTAGCGAGACGGTACAAGGGGGGGGGGGTTCAAAGAGGACTTTGAGGTTGGGTTCTAAAGGGGGTACACGACAGGTTTGAGGTCAATTTCGGGAGGGGATATGAGGTGGGGTTCGAGTGTTCGAGGCAGGATTCAAGGCGGGTTCAAGTCAGGATTTGAGGTGGGGTTCGAGGGAAGGTTTGAGGGGGGTTAGAGGCGTCGTTTGAGGCGAGATTCGGGGCGCGGTTGTGAGGAGGTTCAAGAATAGGATTAAGGCAGGGTTCGAGAAAAGCTTCAAAGTGGAGATTAGAGGCGGGGCTCGACGCAGGTTTTGGGAGAGGAGGGGAGGGGAGGGGAGGGGGTTCGAGACAGGGTTCAGGGCCGGATTCAAGGCGAAGATCGATGCAGGGTCCGAGTGGGGTTCGAGGTACAATACGAGGGAGATTTGAGGTAGGGTTCGGGACGGGTTCGAGACAGGGTTCGAGGAGGGCTTCAAGGTGAAGTTCGAGGCAGGGATTGAGGTGGAGTTCGAGGGATGATACAATGGGGGCTCGAGGCAGAGGTCGAGAGGGGGTTCAAGACAAGGTTCGAGAAGGGTTTCAAGTTGAATTTCGAAGCAGGACATCGAGGTGGGGTTCTGAAAGTTCGAGGGATGGGTTCGAGACGTCGTTCGGTAAGAGATTCGAGGTGGGTTCAAGACAAGGATTGAGGTGAGGTTCAAGGGATAACATGAGTTTCGGAAGAGGGTTTGAGATGGGCTTCGGGAACGGCTTCAAGTTGAAGTTCGAGGCGGGTTTTGGAAGGGTGTTCGAGGCAGGGGTCAAGGCCAGATTTGAAGCAGGATTTAAGGCGGAGATCAAGGCAGGAATCGAGGTGGAGACCGAGGGAAGATACGAGAGAAATTCGAGGCGGGGTTCGGGAGGGGGTTCGAGACAGAATTCGGGAAAGGCTTCAAGGCGAAGTTCGAAGCGGGGATCGAGATGGGGTTTGAAGGAAGGTTCGAGGCGTCGTTCCGGAAAGGATTCGAAGCAGGGTTCTAGACGGGATTCAAGGAAGGGATCGAGGTGGGTTCAAGGTAGGGATCGAGTTGAGGTTCGCGAGATAATATAAGGGAGGTTCGAGCCAGGATTCGGGAGGGGGTTCGAAGCTCGAAGCGGGGATCGAGGTGGGGTTCCAGGGAAGGTTTGAGGACGGGTTCGAGATGTCGTTCGAGAAAGGATTCGAAGCAGAGTTCGAGGCGGGGTTTAAGGCAGGGATCGAGATAAGGTTCGACAGATGATATGAGGGGGGTTCAAGGCAGGGTTCAGGAGTGGGTTCGAGGTGGGATTCAAGAAATGATATGACGGGGGGTTTGAGACGGTTCGCGAATGGCTTCAAGGTGAAGTTTGAAGCGGGGGATCGGGGTAGGGTTCGAGTGGGGTTCGAGACGTCCTTTGAGAAGGGATTCAAAGCGAGGAGATTAGATGCGGGGCTCGAGACGGGTTTTAGAAGGGGATTCGAGGCAGAGTTCAGGGCCGAATTCAAGGAGGAGATCGAGGCAGGGTTCGGGAGGGCGTTCGAGACAGGGTTCGAGGAGGGCTTCAAGGCGAAGTTCGAGGTAGGGTTCAAGGCAGGGATCGAGTTGGAGTTCGAGGCAAGATACAAGGCAGGGTTCAAAAGGGGGTTCAAGACAAGGTTCGAGAGGGGTTTCAAGTTGAAGTTCGAGGCGGGAGATCGAGGTGGGGTTCTAAGGGTTCGAGGGGGGGTTCGATACGTCGTTCGAAAAGGAATTCGAGGCGGGGTCCAAGACAGGGACCGAGGTGGGGTCCGAGGAATAACATGAGTTTCGGGAGAGGGTCACAGACAGGGTTCGGGAACGGCTTCAAGTAGAAGTTCGAGGCGGGTTTTGGGAGGGGGTTCGAAGCAGGGTTCCAGGTCGGTTCGAGACGTCGTTCGAAAAGGGACTCTAGGAGAAGTTTAAGGTAAGGATCAAGGTGAGGTTCGAGGAAAGGTTCGAGGTGGGTTCAAAACTTCGTTCGAAAAGAGACTCGAGGTTCTGAAGGTTCGTGGGGGGATCCGAGACGTCGTTCGAGAGGAGATTCAAGACGGGGCTTGAGACGGGGTTCGAGGCGGGGTTCGAGGTGGGGCTCAGTCGGGTTCGTGGGAGGGTTCGAAAGAGGTTCAGGGCGCCATTCCAGGCGAGATTCAGGTCGCGGTTGTAAGAGGGTTCAAGACGAAGGGTTCAAGGCGGAGTTCGAAGCGGGGATCGAGGTGAAGTTTGACGGACGGTACGAAACAGGTTTGAGTCGGGTTTCGGGAGGGGGGCTCGAGGTGATCATTGGGAGGGTACGAGGGAAGTTTGAGGCGGGTTTCAGCAAGGGGTTTGTGACAGTGTTCAAGCCGGGGATCATAACAGGGGAAGATACGAGGGGGTTCGAGCATGGATTCTGAAGTTTCAAGGAAGGGTTCGAGTTGTTGTTCAAGGGAAGATTCGATACGGGGCTCGAGGCGGGTTTTGGCAGGGGGTTGACAGTTGCGTTCAAGGGAGAGTTCGAAAGAGTTTCAAGGTGCGGTTGGGAGGGGATTCGAGACGAGAATTTAAGAAGACGATCGCGACAGGGTTCGAGGTGAGGTTCGGGGGAGGATACGAGGCGGGATTCGGAAGGGGGTTCGAGACAGGATTCGACAAGGGCTTCAAGACAAAGTTTGAGGCGGAGATTGAGGCGGGATTCGAGGGAAGGCTCCAGGGGGGAGGGTCAAGGAGTCGTCCAAGAGAGAATTTCAGGCAGGGTTCAAGGCAGCGATCGAGATGAGGTTCGAGGCATGATACAAGGGGGTTCGAGGCAAAATTCGCAAAGGGGTTCGAGACAGGGTTCCAGAAGGGCTTCAAGTCGAAGTTCAAAGCATCGATCGAGATGAGGTTCGAGGCATGATACAAGGGGGTTAGAGGCAAAATTCGTAAAGGGGTTCGAGACAGGGTTCCAGAAGGGTTTCAAGTCGAAGTTCGAGGCGGAGATCGAGGTAGGGTTGGTAGATTCGAGGTGGGGTTCGGGACATCGTTCAAGAGAAGATTCGAGATGGGGGTCGAGGCGGGGCTCAGGGCGGGGATAGAAGCGGGGCTCGAATCGGGGTTTGAAGCGGGATTCGAGGCGGGGCTCAATGTGGGGTTCGAGAGATAGTACGAGCTGGAGTTAAAGGGGGTCGGGGGAGTTCTAGGTGGGGTTCAAAGAGGGGTTCGAGTGAGGTCGAGGCAAGTTTCGAGGGGGGATTCACGGTGGGACCCGAGGAAGGGTTCGGAAGAAGTACAATTCACCGTTCCAGGCTTGATTCAAGTCGCGCTTGGAAGGGGGTTTGAGACGACGAGTTTGAAGCGGAGTTTTAGGCGTAGATCGAGGTAAAGTTCGACGGAAAGTATGAAGAGGGTTCGAGGCGGGCTCCGGGAAGGGGAGGGGGGTTCGAGGCAGCATTCGAGGTGGAGTTCGAGGGGGGTACGAGGAAGATTCGAGGTGTGGTTTGGGAGGAGGGTTGCAAAGTGTTTCAAGGCCAGGTTTGAGGTGGGGTTCGAGGGGAAGTTCGAGGGGGGAGGTCGAGACGTCATTCAGGAGGGGTCCCAGGCGGGGTTCGAGGTAAGGTTCGAGAAGTTGTTCGAAACAGTGTTTGAGAGGGGGTTTGAGGGGAGGTTTTCGACACAGGGTTCGAGGTGAGGTTCAGGAAAAAGTTCAAGAGGGATTCAAGCCTGAGTATGAGCCAGGGCTTGTGGCGTAGTTCGAGGCAGGGTTCGATGCAGAGTCCGAGGAAAGTTCTGGGGCCGTCGTTCGAGGTGTAGAGTTCGAGTGGGATTCGAGGGGGGTACTACGGAAACACTAACCTTCTACAAAATGGAGTGCTTCAATTTTCTGACATTTGTAATTTTTCACAGATTCTGGTCACATAAAATACGAATCAAATTTACAGAGTTGTAATGTACGACATAAAATTTTTAGTCACACACCATTCAAACGCAGTGCAAAAAATCGTCTGAAATCGATTGGGGGAATCCTTGAAAATTCTTAGGGACATATCATGTAACGTGCGCAATTTTTACTGGGGATAAAAACGACTGTTATCTCGCCCTTTTCCCTCGGCGAAGTCAAAAACTGAAGAAACTCAATGAAATGGGCGCCAGTTGCTCCTTCAGGAACGGAAGCAACAAACCAAAAGGGTTTCAAACTGGAAGATAGAAAACAAAATCCAAAAAATCCGTCGGACCGAAATCCAAACTTGAAGATAAAGGGTCAAGGGAAAGGTGGAAGGGTGCTCGCGCTGCTCAGGGGGTTGGCTGTGGAGAGAAGAATAGATTCAGGTGGAGAACGGGTCACTGGACTCTTATCCTAAAAGAAAGAAACGCAAGGCCGAAATCTAATGCTGAAATGTACGGGTCTATATTGTCTCTAAAATTCAACAAAAGAGGTTATGTTCAGTTCTCACAAAACAAAAAAAATATAAAAAAATATATATCAGCCATTAAATAAAAAGAAAAAAAACGTAATAATCGTTTCAAAAAACCATAGTCCGCTATAAAAGTGAGAGAGAGACCAAAAAATATATATATATCCATCAAAAATAATAATAATGATTCCATAATATCACAATAATATCAAACCGTAATTAATATCACGCGATGTACGCAGAGAGACCCAAATAAAAGTGTAATTACAACACAAAAAACACAGGATATGTCGAGCAAAGGCTCCAGTGGGAGGAGTCCTAAACAAAACAGAAAGAAATCCATAAATTGAAATTCGGCCATAAATTAGCAAAAAAGACAATACTCAAGAAAATAATAATTCCGAAACTCCCAATATAATACTCGGCAAATATAATAATTCTGACCGAAAATCCGGCATCTCCAGCGCGACGCAAAAGCAAACGAAGCACCGGAAAAAAAATAACAAACGCAACATGATTCTCGGAAAATGCGCGCGCTCATGAGTTTAAACGTACACGTGGGAGCTGAAACGACGGACGCGGCACATAGACTCCATGGACGTGCGACCTTGAGTCGAAAAACTGCATGAAAAATGGCCCTAACCGAGGCGACAAACGCATGGAGAACCAGAAGAAATCCTAATGAAATGTCAGGGCACATAAAAATTAATAAACGTGTGAGAAAAAACCATTAATCGGCATATTTTCAGCGAGGTGCCATCGCAAGGCCAAGAGGCATAGAGCTCGAAGCGAACGAGCCAGTGGGGAATGCGAAATATTTCTAATTACACGAAAGAAAACTACGAAAATCGAAAGAAAATTAACAAAAGTCCGTAAACCACGGAGAGTCCATTAATACCATGGAAACCCTAATTACTCGGTACATAATCGACCGAAGACCAAACGGTAAGAAGCTCGAAATGAATGAGTCGGCGGTAAACGCAAGGATGGCTCTCTACACCGAGAATTTCACGGCTTTTATATTCTCAAAATCTCGACGCGGTACTCCTGACATATTCACTGAATTTCACGATATTAAAATATCCCATAGGCAATTATTTGGCATTATTTAGGCTCTATCGCACAGAGCAAGACCTCAAAATCAATAAATTATCACCCAAAAACCCTGAGATGAGAAAAGAACGCAACATTAACCCGAGACATGCGAATTCCAACACCAAACATATGTGCGAAACTCATCAGCGAATACCACGCAATTTCCCACTCGCCTACGCCGCAGTCAAAACTCCTCAATCTCGCTCAATATATTACTCACGTCACTCAAAATGTTCTTAACTCACCCACTATTTTCTTACACTAACAATAACTCCCAATTCGTTATTAATAATCGATTCACGAACGGCACAATAAGTCCAAACTACCCAACACGTGGTCACTCTGACGCTGCGAGAATCGATACTGCCATTCAATGGCGGCTCGGCGCACGGAGAGGGGCGTGGACAGAGCGCCACGTGCGCCTGGATTGCGCAACAATTACATAACGTTCGGTAACCGGGATTTCTACCTAACGAAATTCAAATTTAGATAACTCTAAACAAAAATTAATTACCACAACGATTGAAATCGATGTCAGAGTGGGTTATTAACTCAGGAAAAATTTCTATTCAACTATAATCTCCTTTCTGGAGTCGTATTCTCGGGATCTCGGGGCTAGGAAAATAAATTACAAAAGAAACGAACAAAACTTGATTACAAAAAAATGAAAAAAATTAGAAAAATCGAACTCAAACGACCTTGGCGATTCACGCGAGAGCAACGGTCGGGATTGATCGCGTGACTTTCCACCTAACCCAAAACTAACCCCTCCCAAACCCCAAAAATCCACTAATTGAGCGGTAGTATTCCAACTACTCCTACACTATCCCCGAAAATTCGAAACGAAGGGAACAATCCTCAAAAATGATCGCGCAGCTCGTTAATATCTCGGCCTAAGTCACGAAAATTCTATCGGCCCTATATAGTTAATTTTTCCCCACCCAATTGACAAAACAGAAAGCGTGAAACGCAAAAGAAAAGACAAAACAAATCCAAAAATACGAAAGAGGCGTCAGAACGCAAAACAAAATTCCCAAAAACAACAACAAAAAATGATAAAAAATAGCGTTAGAACGCAAAACCGAAATTCTAATGAATCCAAAATGACTCGAAATCTCTAATTATTAACAAAAATGAATTGACTCGGAACTATTGGCTCGACTAGGTCATTTTCTCTGCGTACTTACGGTTTTTCCGGTAGTTTTTCCGTTGATCCCGCGGCGAGCGAGGGAATTTCCCCAGAATCCCTTACACCCCCCATCTTTGCCGGTTCCAAGTTCGTTTCCGCATCGGTCAGGGGTTGTTATCCGTGGGTGGTGG